TGAGGCACTGCACTAAAATATTAGTCCATGATAGAGGTAGAGCAGTAAACGAAACATTACGAACTATAACAGCTGGTGCAAAATGTATCTGTCACAGAGTTAAATGTGAACAATTGTTGACATTCACGGATAGACAAAAAGCACCCAACATCATCAAATGCACGTTCCCTGAGCTGGTAACAGGACACTTATTTTCCCTCTGCTTTGTTTCCTGTCCCCTGATGGGGTGGTTAACCTACAGGCACTTTGTTTTTAAATACTGTAAGTTGCTTTTTCTAGATGTGTGTTTTTTAAAAATATATTATTTTATTGATTTGAAAGGCAAAAGCTATGCTGCTGTTATTGATAAAACAGTAAGTCCATTTCGGACTTTTAAATAAATGTTTAGGTTACAGCACTACATTTTCAATGAGTGTATTTTTGGTTAACTACATTATGTTTTTTTACTGCTCCCCTGAATAAGTCAGAGAGCAAAGCATCTTTATTCATTTTGCAATACCTTGCATTAAGCAGAGTCTATACATTGATGTAGAACACACACACGCAATCAATGATACGCGGCCCTTCCTAATGTCTTCAGCTGGCCTCTCTTGACAGCAACCACAAGACACTGCTCCTTGAGCCATGGAGATGAATGGTTCAGTTTGTGTTTTTTCAAAGACATTAAAGGCCTCAGCTAAAATGTGTAAAATTGCGTCCAAATGCAAGTTGACCAAACAGCCTCTGACACGCACGGGCTATGGGGCTGTGTATTTCAAATATATTCTCGGCAGGGAATTTGCCCTCTCTCTCCTTACCGCGACATACTGTTCTCTTCCCGCTACGCACTGCACACTCCATTTGTTGACATCGGCATGTGCTTTCCTATATTTGCCTTGTGCTTCGAGCAGCTCTTGTGCATGAGCTCGCAGTGGTTAATGCGTCATGATCTCACGTACTGTGACCTATGGCCAAATACACCCGGAATGTCGAGGAAGGAGTTGTTTGCCTCGGGTGCTCCGGTTTTCCCCCCCCCCCCCCCACGTGTATAAACATCTATTGCCTGAAAACATCTTCATGTATAGAGGAATGAAGAACTTGGATATTTGTTGGCGTCTTCTCACCAACTGGCTGCCTTCCAACTTGTCCGTGGTTCTTGAGCGATTGTGAGATGAAATTTGTATGGACGATGCTACGTAAAACTAAACATTATTACAATTATGATCATCGTTGTTACATAAAACGAAAATGTTACTGTCCTCTGCCAGGCAGGAAAATGCAGACTGATGCAAATGCTTACAACTCACACTGCTTAGAAAATCTGAACAGATCTTGTGACTGACTTGCATTTTACTGGAATGACCTCTGTGGGTTGCGTGATGGCTGTTTTGCACAAGCGCTGCACAATTCAGTTCTTTGAGGTTACTTTTAAAAGCCACTGACAAATTGCAGAGGAGAGTAGTACACTGATAGTAAAAGTAAACAACTCTGTTATACATGATACGGCAGCAGTCACATTTACGGTCTGTCAGATATGTCAATCAGTTTTTCTGCACCTATACTATTCATTAATTGACATCTTTTTTTTTATCAAGGAGATGCTTCATTTGATTAAAACATCTCAAGAAATTTGGATTGCTATATTTAAAAAAAGGGACTAATGTCATGGTATTTCATTGTCAATCATTCTGTGAATACGGTAATGGTTAAAATGTGAGATTTGTGCTACGAGACCACCACACTTGTCTTCTCTCGTGAAAAGTAATGTCACAGAAGTCTTTAACATTCACTTTAGAGGAGACATTCCGTTTTGACAATTACCCATAAAAGTTACTGAGTTGCTGCTGGAATACAAAAAAACGCCATACAAAGTGGCTTAATGATGAGGACACCAATCACTGGTCTACCCAGCCATCCAAATAGCATCCATTCCATACAGCACTGTATATATGCAGTGCGTTCTCAAATATGTTCTGTCGATTCTATCCGTAATGGCACGGCACTTGCTTTGCTTCGATGTAAATGAAATGTGGCAGTTCGGTGGTGCGTGATGGCACATTGTGACATTTGTTTTGAAGAGGCTGACAGGATGACAGACACGCGGAGACGGATAGAGAATTGGATAGTGAGTGTTGTATTAGTGCTCTTGTTTGTATGAGTGTATCGATACAGGCAGAAAACTGTAAAAACATACGCAAGGACAACGATCTGTCCGTTTAGCCTCATAAACCAGAGGGTCAACTGTTGTGAGTGAACACCTATTACGATCGACGCTACACTTAGTTAACTTTGTCCACGCAATGCTGATGCTCCCACAATACAATAGATACTTATTAAGGCTAAGTCAACCAGGCACACAGACACACATGTATGGGCATGCAGGAATTCATTAATATGAATGCATAAACATGTGCGCAGCACACTTTGTATATTATCAGATTGGACGCAGGGCAAAGGCAGAGGCTTAACGTGAATACTTTTATTATATTGAAGAATATATTACAAACAACTTGCGCAATAATAAAACAGAAACATGTGCGTATAGAAATTGTAATACCTATGTTTGGCTCTTATTAATTGCTAAAATTTGGCATGACATAACATACATAGAGTTGTACATATATTTTTCTTATTTGTTAAATAGTTTTTCCTCCCCCCCCCCCCCAGTTTATTACAATTTTGCGATTGGCATCATGTCAGAAGACGAATAATCCATTAGACAATGTTACAGAGTATCTCTCAGTCTCACAGAGAACAACTACGAAAGATATTTTTTCAGGTTCCTCTCCATAAACACTTCGATTGGCCTTTTCATCTCTGCGCAGTAGGGGGCGCACTTTCCCACACACTGCTATATGACAATTTCTTGCAAATTCACGTTGAAGGGAAACAATAAAGTAATCAAATATATATAAAACAATAAAACATTCTCACGACGTTTCGACCATAACACAAACGGTCATCATCAGGTGTGAAAGCCAACGGCAAGGAACATTTGAATTACTGCAGTCACGAAAGCTTTAAATCAAAATGTAATTTCTCGCAATTTTTTAAAATCGGTATTTTTAATGTGTGCATTTTATTACATACATAATTCAAAGTTTTACTGAGACATTGAAAATACTATGTAAGGTACAATACACGTGCTGCATGCGTGTGTATGTATATATAGAGATTTGGTGGATGAGCAAAAGGCCTTTCAATTTAACGCGTAGGCTTTTGCGACCAATATTATCCATAAGGATAAGGCTTTCAATTGTGAGATCTTGAGTTAAAGTCCCAACCGAGGTCAATGTAATAATTCCAATCATCATCACTCTAAATAATGTTTATTATCATGGTCATCATCATCATCCAACTGGGCACGACCTGGTGGGTCTGCACCACTTGGGGGTGCTTCCGTAAGATCACAACAGGGGCTCCTCTCATGTGATTATTCGTACTTTGCCATGGGAATGTGGCGTGAGTGCATCGCCGCCAAATCGGAACCAGGAATGAGAGCCACTTTCAGAATGCCTATGCACAACTAACGTGAAATAGACGTAGGCACATGCACAATAAGCTTGTGAATATACAGATCAACAAAATAAATGTATTAACGGACTTTTTGGGAAAGTCAGCAAGCGCCTCTGCAGTGTGCCACAACACAACGACGGGGTGTGTGGCGAGGACCACGCCTGGCTGCCTTTGTCTCTCTCGTGGTGATGTTTACACACGGCACCGGATACTCATTTTGAGGCTGAGTCGACCCAGGGGAAGACCAGGACCGGTTCAAATAAACGTCACTGGTGTTGGGAGTGAGCTGGAATCGAACACGAGTCTCTGGGCTCTTAGTGCAGCGCACTAAGAACACCAGTACCACATCAACATAACGTACACACATACACATTTCTAAGCTTTGTTCCACCATGTCGTTATTCAGTGTTGTACTAAAAGCTTGTGAATACGCAAATCTACAACAACAACCACTGCTCACTTTTGAGCGGTGGTGAAGTCACCACCACGGCACTTGTGCCAGGCTAGGTGCACCTTGAGGCCACATGACGTGTCAAAGGCTCGCTGCTGGCAGGTCACGGGAAGAGTCCCAGGTGTTGTAGGCTGACTGACCGAGACAACTGACAGATGCCACGCCACCCCGTGCTCCCCACTGCAAATCCACATCACGCATCTATCAACTTTCTCCCATGCGCCTTTTGTTCATTGTCGTGCTAAAAGATTGTGAATACACCAATCAAAATCACACACACACACATTTCTAAACTTGCTCCCCCCTACCCCACTGCTCCCATCCACCCCACGTGGCTTTATGCAACAGTGTGCTAAAAACACACGCACACACGAGGCCGGCGTTGTAGGGAGTTGCCAGTGTTCAAAAGGAGACCGGGGAGGCTTGGTTCGCACTGGTCTGGGCAGCCTGGTGGGAGGGGAGGGACGCATCGTCCCCGGGTCCCCTGCCTCTTAAATAGACACCGACGTGCCAAGTGTCCCCCCATCCGTGGCTCAGAGAGAGAGAGCAGGGGGGTGGGGGGCAAAGGGGGTAACACGGATCACCGTCATATCTGTGGCGGGCGGGTGGGGGGGCAGAAGCAATAACAACTCGTGGGCTCGCTTGGAGGTGAGTGGAGGTAGCAGGGTGCTCACGTTCGTCGTTTTCAATGGTACCTGGCATGTAGTGTAAATGTAATTGATGGCATTTTCATCATGACTGTGTTGTTGTTACCTTTATGTTTTTACGATATAACATCAGTATGCTATAACAGTGCTGTATATAAATACTATACTCAATTGGTTGGACATTGCATCACACATTTGTGTCATTGTTATTCAACGATTGCCATTACTACACCGTGCGGTGTTCCATGATAAAGCGATAATGTGTCGCATACATACAACAAAAATACGGCATCATCATCATCATCCTTTACTGTAACTGTCTTACGGGAAACAATTGCTGGCATTCGAGGCGGCATGACGATCAGCCCGATCGCGTAATATGTAACAATCTCCCCACGTTCATTTAGACCAGCAGACGAGAAACGCGGAGTGGGTGAGAGGGACGCTGTGATCCAAGCCTTGCTGCACCTGCGCCTGCGATGGTAAAGCGGTTCAGCCGTTTGACCCCCGGCTACTTTCGCCTGCTTCAGGTAACCACGACTGTTGTTTTTTTAATACATCGACAAATTTAGCTGGCCCGTAATATAGCACGGTGGAGGCGAGTGGTCGGTGGATCGCACAAAAGTTGCGGAACTCCCTTCCCAGTGGGCGTCGAGGTGCCAGTTCCGAGGCAGTACAGCAGAAAATGTGGACCCCCACCTGTTCCATCAGTAGTGGGATACAGTGATACCCCCTCGCACGCGCGAATTTCTCCGGGTGCTCTGGTTTCCTCGCACATGTAAGAGACTCGTGTATTGGCTGATAGCGCCTTGATATCGAGAGTACCGCAGAGCTTGAGCACTTGTTGGAGCCTGCTCGCCCTGCAGCTGCTGTTCCCGCTGGTCTGTGGGAAGGCAGCTAGTGAGCGAATACTGACACTGTTCCCGTTCCAAGTTGAAATGATTATTAATCCGCTCAAAGGTAACATGCCAATGGGGCAGGCAACCTCTAACTTAAATCACTATGAAGGAAAAGGTGAAGCTCTGAAATCACTTGCCTACGACGCCACTCCTGGCTGAAGGGCTTCCACTAGAGGCATCTCTGCATCTAAAGTGTATTTTGGTCTACTCTTCCACGCTGGTCAGACGTTTGGAAAGAGGTTGGAGTACCCACGCTTTACACCACCATTGCAAGTCCAGTATGCTAACCATTACTCTCTGCTAGTATTCTTAAATGATGGACGCTAATGAAAAATCCCTTTCGTTTGCCACATCGCCATGAACAGGTAGTTGTTATCAATATGCCACAGTACTTGGATATAGTGTATCCATGCTTTTTGTACACGTGTGCATATGTAGCTGCATGTGTGTGTGTGTATGTGTAATGTAGCGGTAGTGTAGTGGTTAGCGCACTGCACTATGAACCCGGCGACCAGGATTGGATTCCCGCTCACGGCCAACACCAGTTATGATTATCTAAATTAGTCCTGGGCATCTCCTAGGTCGACTCAGCCTTAAATAAGTACCTGGTGCGTAAACATCGCCACTGGGGAGACAAAGATGACCGGGCGGAGTGATGGCCACCAACCCTCTCGCGTGTAGTGTCAACCTTTATAGGTGCTCGCTAACTGCACTTGTTTCAACAGTCTGTTAAGGCTGTAATTGGAGCTTTTTGTCTTTGTATGTCTATTGTGGGGAGGAGTGTTTTAAGGGTTAATGCATTGCACTAGAAAACTTGAATTCAACTTGCATTCAATTCCTGAACGTGCCTGATACCGTTGGCAATGCGTGACTGGTTCATGTCCAAGGCCTCTCAAAAGTCAACTCAGCCGTATATGATTAACAGGTGCAGCATATTCGTAAATATCATCAATGGGGAGATAAAGGTTGTGGGGGCATGCCTGATGCTGGCCACATTTACTAAATGATGAACATGTCTTTTGTGAGGTGTTTTTGGTTTTTAATAACTCTAACAATTAAACCCTTGTAACTTAATATTTTCCCTCAAAGTTCACAAGTTATGGTCCAAGAATAAATGGCAAATATAGAAATTGTTCTTTAGACTCCAATGCTCCTCATGGATTGAACAATATTGCATCTCATTAACCCTCAATAATATTTCCCTCCTTGGCAGTTTTATGAATGGGCAATTGGACTAATTGTTTGGTCAATATTAATGTAAGTGCTTTTATGACCATACCATAAAATAAAAAATTACTGCAAATTAAATCGATTTTTAAAATATTCATCCAGATCAATGTGCATTTTAAATTTCGATTTAAAGCTTTCGTGACTGCAATGATTCATCTTCTTTGGTTCTTTCGGTAAAGTCACGTAGAATGAGAATAAAATAATAAATTGATATCTCTACATGGGATTTTGGCCTACTCTTTCACGATGTTTTTTTTTCAGTAGTGAAGACCTTAATTCAATTGAAACGTGAAGTAAATAAAATGCACATTTTCTTTGGTTCTTTCGGTAAAGTCACGTAGAATGAGAATAAAATAATAAATTGATATCAGAATAAAATAATAAATTGATATCAATTTATTATTTTAATAAATTGATATCAATTTATTATTTTATTCTCATTCTACGTGACTTTACCGAAAGAACCAAAGAAAATGTGCATTTTATTTACTTCACGTTTCAATTGATTTAAGGTCTTCACTACTGATAAAAAAAAAAACCATCGTGAAAGAGTAGGCCAAAATCCCATGTAGAGGGGCTCTCTCGAGCTCCTTCTCGTGGAGGCGATAGGGGAACGTTGCCTCTATGTGCGGCCTCGTGTGCCCTGTCCAGCTGCAGACCCAGTCGGCACAGGAGCTGGCGTGCGGGCACGCCGAAACCCGCACCAACCGTGCCGCCTTGCTGCTCAGCCTGCTGGGCCTGGCGCTCAGCTCCTACAGCCTCAAGCGCATGCGAGCGCTGCAGCTCACGGGCGAAGAGTGATGGCTTGCCCGCCCGCCCCGCCCACTCGCTCGCTCGCTCGCACGGTACCGCGTCACCTCCTGGAAATCGACCCTTGTGCAATGACTACTTGACTGCGACGACAGCGATGCTGTTGTCTCCGCTGTAACAATTCCCCGACCAACCCCCAAACGCCTTCCCCCCCACCCTCCCTGGATCCTGTTCCCGGGGATGGTGGGGGGGGGGGGTGGGAGGTGGCAGGTTAATATTTTCTGTAGCTCAGCCCCAAACGGCTCCGGGTGAAATTAAGCCCTGATTTAATTAATGAAATTTCCATTTTTGTATCCCCCACCCCGCTCAAATTAGCATTGGGCAAGGCTCATCTCTGTTAGGATACTTAAGTCACTGGTGTGGAAATTCCACTTTGACTTGTCTCCCCATAGGGTGACCATAGTTGAATTATCATAGATCCATAAAGAAAACACGTTGCCTATTACTGCAACATTAATTACCAGCGAGGCTTCTGTGCACGTCGATGCACTGTGTTGAGGCTTGCAGGGCAGTGTGGAGTTTTTTTTGTGGCAAAATGCCATGCAATGCAAATTATATTCCTTAGAAATGGAATGATTAGACATGTTAACTATGTTCTGTAAAAATGTTTAAGCAATTAAGGCTGCATGCAGCCTTCAATATAAATCAAATGTATTTGATACGATAGCCACAGCAACAATTATGCATTTAGACAATAAACAGCCACATATTGCATTGGCACTTTATTGGGCCTACTCAATGTAGCACAGGGGACTCAAATTCACATCTTGACGAAACAGATTGGGTGTGTGGTTTTTATTTGTATGCAGTTTTATTTCTGGGGGTTTTCTGGCTGTCTCTGTGATTTTGTGAACGAGAAATGATTAACTCTCACCTGATTAAATAAAGGGCATTTAACGCCATTGAACTTGTCAGAGACATCGTAATGCAACACTCACATGGCTGAATAAGGACACTGGGCGGAACTGTGGACACCAAAGTGAGAACGCATGGCCTGAGTCAACTAAAAGCAGTTGCTTCAGTCCTTGCTTAATTCCGGCATATACAGAGCTAAAATACTCATACGTTTCTGCCTTACGAGAGTCCTCTTGAACCCTTAAGAATGCAATGTCCCCTCCGCTAAACAATGACAGGAGTGCAGAAGACGGAATGCGAAGTCACGAGGCTTTGTGCTGGGTCACGCGTTGCAGACGAACGGGGCATGAGGGCGCTACGTCGGCAGGTAAAAGCAGCGTGAACCAGCCAGCGGTCACCTGGAACGCAACCCTCGGCACGATGAATCGGCAACAGCAACCAAACCACTGCACGGAGATGCTTTTAATTGGCCAAACAAGTAATGTTTATAATTCAACTTGGCGTTCTATAACTTAACCTGGTGAAGACGGTCAATCTCAATAACTTAACCCGGTTAAGTTATTGAGATTGACTATCTCTTTAGCAATAAAGGCCTGGGAGATGATTTTGTTGATATTCAAAATTTCGAATTTGTGGATATTGTACCGGCACTCGGTGACGTTACCTTATGAATGACGTCATAGTGTCATTGACACGCTCTCGACGGCGGACGGCCTTTGCTTGTAGCTGCTAATATCTCGCGAAGACTACCACGCAACTGCACGAAGTCGAATAATTAATCGGCCGAGTGCAAGCCAGCGCAGTTGGTGAGCTCACGAACCGTTCTGCTACTCGGCGAGCTATTCGTCATCGTGAGAGCCAATACATCATCGACCAAACCTTAATGGTTTTACGTCTCTGCATTCACGATATGCGGGTGAGCCACTGGCATGGTTACAGCTGACCACAGCAGTATTTCTGTTACATTTTTTATTGATAATTACAAATAAAAAAAATCTCAAAAAACAGCCTCATAAAACATTCAGTATGAAATTAAGATAACAAACTGCAGTTTTGCTTATTTTTAATCTACGTGGCTACTCGTGAAGAAATATATATCAATAATATTTTAGAATTTGTGTTACAAAAAGTCAATTGGGTCTATGATTAAATGAGCCATTGGTGGTGCTCACGACTGCTAGCAGCTCTGAGCCAGTGTCAGAAATTCCACATTTTAATGACGGGGGTTAGTCCACCCATAACAAAACAACTGTGGACGTCCCATACAGTGGTGCTCGTTTTTAAAATAAATAAATTCCAGAGCGATGGTGGACTGAGTTGATCTCCAACCAGTATTTGTGCTCACAACCTCTCGATTTGGAGTTTGGCGACTCATGATGGGGACCTGGCCTCTCTCTATGCAAATAGTGCTGAATGTCGTGACTCCTGGACAGTTGATCAATGGCACATGCTCGCTGCTGTATCAGTTTACCTGTGACCCTGACCTTTGGTTAAATTCGAGGAAAATTCCCTCTCTAAAATGTGTAACTTGCAACCAGCCGCAAGGCACTCCGTCTATTCTCCTGGCCACTGCTGTTGGTGTATTTGTTTTGTTTGTTCTTGAAAACAGTGAAATGCACTGAAAGGAGGTTTTTTTTGCAGAAGCATCAACACATCTACATTTTCAGTCTTCCGCCTGACGTATAAGAACCTGTGTGACCACAGCCGAGTACAGTGAACGGTATCATTTACGCTTACATTTTAAGCAGAACGCCTGGATTTCGCAGAAATGTGGGCGATGGTCATTGCAGATGCTATCACCTTCGGGGTAATCTGCAAATTTACCTACAATTTTTGTTGCATAATAATCACGGGTGTTAGGAAGAAATTAAGTATAGGGGCGTGAGAATTAGTTTTTGTGGACCTCACAAATCTTGTGGATACTATTCTCCAGTTATAGTACATTTCTCTCCCCCTGGTATTTGAAAGCATCTTATATTCAGATCGGTGCGTGCGGCCAGATTTGTATAACTTGATTGACACTGGGCACAGAGTTTTCGATGGGTCTTACTTTCCAGAGCATCTATAATGCGGAGAAGACGGTAATAGGAGTTGTGGGCAATAGGGCTGCCGATAAGAGGAGTTCAGCTCCATAAGCTTTATTTTCAAGTGTTTGTATTATTTTTGCGTATGTTTAAAAAAAAAGTCTCACGTAGAGGTTGTGAAATAGACTCGCTACACAATTTGAATTGTGGCGGATGAGGGAACTCTGGAGTGAATTCGGATTGGACAAATGGTAAAAAAATAAAATCCATGGAAATGTAATTGTAAAGGGAAAGTGCATAATGATTTGAACCGTTAGTGTGGTAGCTTTTTAACGATAAAGACAAATGTGACATTTTGATACCTACATTCTTACTCTATTTCTGAGCTAGAGGCAATTAAGCGGCGATGTGAAAATTGATTTGAATTCCAAAAAGCAATTCTCCATCGACGTATTTTAAGTTTTCAATTTACATAAACATTGCAATGCAGTATTTTACAATACCCTGGAAAAGCTAATTATAAAGTGACTATTAAATCAAGTGAATATTAAATGGGATTACGTTACATTGCGTCAGTTTCAGAGGGTAGTTTTTTTTATTTTTATCTTCGGTTTTAAGGTTTTATCAGTGGACAATGTTCTACATTTGCAATAAATCGATTGTTTTGTGTTCACGTGTGCAAAACAAACAAGGGGAGTTAGACCTTCAAGCAGGCATTAATTAAACATTTTAATTACAGTTGAACAGTATCAGACTAAGGCATCTCGTTAGCATCATGCAGCACATATGGATGGACATCATATGCAGTAATCTAGTGTTCAGTGGATTATATCGTGAATACAACTTGACTGTCTCCAACTGCACCAGTGCTGTATTATTGTGTGATGAAATGATAACTGTGCATTAGCAACTAATACTGTAATTTTTTTTGTTAATTTGTCATCTGGCGCTTACAAACTTGCGCTCTTGTTGACAAATGCACTGGCACCCGATACAGGGTTGTATCTTCATGTGTGATTGTTACTACAGATTGAGGCGTCGCGAATCTATAGGTGGTGTGTTGATACACCTACAGATGTTTCTATAGTTGTGTTTATAGGTGTGTTTGTAGGTGAGTTTTTTTTACGTGAATATATGTAAGGAGCGGCATTACTATTCCCAGTTTGCCTAGTTTAAAATCTTGTCCGTGAACATCAGCGATGGCAATTGGTTTCTGAACCCAAGCTGGGGCTCTTCTAGGTTGACTGTCCATAAACTGCATACCTGATGCAATGTGAGCAACTTTAACTGATGAACAACCAAAGCTCTGTGTGCATAATGCTGATTCCACCGGCCCCTTATGTGCTGTGCCAGCCTTCATAGGAGCTTGATAACGGCTCTTGTCCTAGATAAACTTTGCCTGAGTGTGTGCGCGTGTGTGAAAGTGCGTATGATTGTGTGCATGCAAAACTGTGGGGAGCGGTGGCATCGTGGTTGGAACACTGCGCTACAAACCTGGTTCCTGGGTTCGATTCCCAGTTACAGATAACATCAGTGGCGGGTGATATCCGAACATGCCTTGGGCCTGCCATAGGTCGACTCAAATGAGTACCTGGTGCGGTATGTGAATGTCAAAACTGGGGAGACAAAGGTGGCTAAGCGTGGCACTGGTCACACCAACCCTTTGCTGCCATGCTCGCTAACAGCACTTGCCCCATAAGTCTTTGTAGGCCATATTGGGGACCTATGGCTTATGTATGCAAAAATGCGCCATAACCCCATGCTGTAGTGTAAATACTTTGAATTGAAAACACACAATAAGCTTACTTGGTCTTCGGTCTTGAACTATGCTTAAACCCTCTCCTGACATCAGCTTCACAGCCATTTATGACTGTGATTCTCGGAAGTGACTTCGCTTGCGTATCAAGTTTGGTTCTGGGTACCACAATTATTTGTTTACCATTCGGGTCACGCTACGGAGTGCTCTCCCCATGCGATTACACATAACAATAAAATATAAAAAATTCAAGCAAAATCCATTAACTACCAGTGAGAATAGTGAGAATATTATTGTGTTATTTTATTTTATCAATGTATTATTTTGTTCTCATTCTACGTGACTTTACCGAAAGAACCAAAGAAGATGAATCCTTACAGTCACGAAAGCTTTAAACCGAAACTACCACATTGTTATTCGTTAACATTTGTAGGAAGTTCAATGAATGTTTATCAAATTTACTTAAATCTGCTATTAGTAAGACTATGGCCAAATCACCTGGAATGCATTCAATATTGACAGATCCTAAAATCTTAACAGGATTTAGCCTGGATAGGTCTAAGATGGGCAATACGTCACGCACAAACACAGGTCTTGCACATCCCTGTGGAGGGACGTTATCTCTCGGCAAATGGGCAGTACAGCAAAATATATTGTCGTACAGTACTGTACTATATTCAAACATGCTCCACGAATTCACGAACCCACGTTGACCAACGTGGTGAAGTATGGACAAATAATCCCCACGACCGACACGACATGGGCAAGTCCCTCGTATCCTGGAGGGGGTTGTGACTAAAATGGGCAGTGCATGTGCACGAGTGAGTGACCCCGGCGACCTGAGTTCTATTACCACTCACGGACAACACCAGTGACGAATATCCGAACCGGTCCTAGGACTCCCTTGGGTTGACTCAGCCTCAAATGAGTGTCTGGTGCAGTGTGGAAACATTGCCACTAGGGAGACAAAGGCGGCCGGGCGTAGTGCTGACCACACACCCCCTCGTGTGCCGTGCCGGGCTTCATAGGTGCTCGCTGACTGCATTGGCCCCAACAGTCTGGTTAAGGCTATATGGGGGATCTATCTCTTTGTATGTATGTTGAACTTCTTTCGTGCCGTACGTAGCCAACTGTGCCAATCGGAGGTGGCGGGGGAAGGGCAACAAACTGGACACAAAGCAGGATGAGTGTAAGCAGGGCTGGTTTGGGTCGCTCGCTCATGGCTGCAATGGCCATGTTTGAGGAGCTGTGTTAGATCCTATTGAGATCCTGGATTGCGTGTGATAATAATTTTTTTTTTCTTCCAAATCTTGTTTTATTCCGATCGCGCTATCACCGTCGTCGCGAGCCAAAAAAATTGGTTCGGGAGATGAATGTCCACAGCCACCCTCCTCGGTAATGAAACCATGCTCTCAAGTCCACGAGCGAGCTCCTGCGTTGTGTATGTGGTTCATCTAACATGCCAGTCACGTGATAAAATACGACCTTAACGTGCACTGACTTCTATGCAAAACAAATGTATTAAATGCGTTTGACTAAATAAATATTATTCCTTAAATATTTGACATGTTAACAACACAACCATATAATTCGTTTGTTGGAGGTGCATGCACATGTATACTTTTGCATGAAATACACATTGCGATTAGCCTACCTTGTAAACTTAGGCTTAATATTTAGTTACTGCGGCAGCGATTGTTGGTAGCATAACCTTGGGGGGACATGAAAACCTAGACCGTGATGCAGAGAATGGACTGGAGTAAGAGGGGGACACTGCTTGAGTATTAAGATCTGTGTGTGTGGTTTGTCTTGAAATATGTTAGGCTGGCTCTCGACAATTGTTTTAATGGTAAATAACAGAGCACTTACTCACTTTAGCCAAAATGTTCACTGAAATGTGCACAGCGAAAGCATTTAAGAACCTGTGATGCTGAGGTTAAAGGTGGCGTGCCTTAATTCACCCACGCATATGAACGTTAAACGTGTTGAAGCTGATAGCTGCTTTCAAAAATTATTGCAGCTCTAATTTTGAACTCTATACCAAAGCATGCTACGCGATATATATATATTTTTTAGTAAAGTCGGTGTATAACTTGCTATGTTTCTGCTGCGCCGTGTATTCTTGTATTTTTGTTTAATTTTCAATAAATATACTCTTGGCAAACATTTTTTTACTTTGCTTTTTCATGTGTGTGTGTATATATTATCGCCATTATATGAGTCGTCCTGTCCCAAAACATGTTCTATACGAGTCCCAACAAACAGAGCCTCGTGTCACAATGGGGAATGACCCCAGGAGAAACGCGAAATAACTACAGGGCAGATATCCCTCGATTTACGAACGTTCGGTTTATGAAATGTCGCATTAACGCAATTGACATACAGTGAGGGAAAAAAGTATTTGATCCCCTGCTGATTTTGTACGTTTGCCCACTGACAAATAAATAATCAGTCTATAATTTTAATGGTAAGTTTATTTGAACAGTGAGAGACAGAATAACAACAACAAAAATCCAGAAAAACGCATGTCAAAAATGTATAAATTGATTTGCCTTTTAATGAGGGAAATAAGTATTTGACCACTCTGCACATGACTTGGTGGCAAAACCCTTGTTGGCAATCACAGAGGTCAGACGTTTCTTGTAGTTGGCCACCAGGTTTGCACACATCTCAGGAGGGATTTTGTCCCACTCCTCTTTGCAGATCTTCTCCAAGTCATTAAGGTTTCGAGGCTGACGTTTGGCAACTCGAACCTTCAGCTCCCTCCACATATTTTCTATGGGATTAAGGTCTGGAGACTGGCTAGGCCACTCCAGGACCTTAATGTGCTTCTTCTTGAGCCACTCGTTCGTTGCCTTCGCCGTGTGTTTTGGGTCATTGTCATGCTGGAATACCCATCCACGACCCATTTTCAATGCCCTGGCTGAGGGAAGGAGGTTCTCACCCAAGATTTGACGGTACATTGCCCCGTCCATCGTCCCTTTGATGCGGTGAAGTTGTCCTGTCCCCTTAGCAGATAAACACCCCCAAAGCATAATGTTTCCACCTCCATGTTTGACGGTGGGGATGGTATTCTTGGGGTCATAGGCAGCAGTCCTCCTCCTCCAAACACGGCGAGTATAGTTGATGCCAAAGAGCTCCATTTTGGTCTCATCTGACCACAACACTTTCACCCAGTTGTCCTCTGAATCATTCAGATGTTCAATGGCAAACTTCAGACGGGCATGTATATGTGCTTCCTTGAGCAGGGGGACCTTGCGGGCGCTGCAGGATTTCAGTCCTTCACGGCACAGTGTGTTACCAATTGTTTTCTTGGTGACTATGGTCCCAGCTGCCTTAAGATCATTGACAAGATCCTCCCGTGTAGTTCTGGGCTGATCTCTCACCGTTCTCATGATCATTGCAACTCCACGAGGTGAGATCTTGCATGGAGCCCCAGGCCAGTGAGATTGACAGTTCTTTTGTGTTTCTTCCATTTGCGAATAATCGAACCAACTGTTGTTACCTTCTCACCAAGCTGCTTGGCAATGGTCTTGTAGCCCATTCCAGCCTTGTGTAGGTCTACAATCTTGTCCCTGGCATCCTTGGAGAGCTCTTTGGTCTTGGCCATGGTGGAGAGTTTGGAATCTGATTGATTGCTTCTGTGGACAGGTGTCTTTTCTACAGGTAACAAGCTGAGATTAGGAGCACTCCCTTTAAGAGTGTGCTCCTAATCTCAGCTCGTTACCTGTATAAAAAAAACCTGTGAGCCAGAAATCTTTCTGATTGAGAGGGGGTCAAATACTTATTTCCCTCATTAAAATGCAAATCAATTTATAACATTTTTGACATGCGTTTTTCTGGATTTGTTGTTGTTATTCTGGCTCTCACTGTTCAAATAAACCTATCATTAAAATTATAGACTGATAATTTATTTTTCAGTGGGCAAACGTACAAAATCAGCAGGGGATCAAATACTTTTTTTCCCTCGCCGTACATCACGGACGCTTTTCGAGTAACGAAATTGAATTTCCGCGAGAGCGAAACTTAACGACAGCCACGCGCCACGAGACCATCAAACGAGAAGCCACCAGGGGAGGCTGCGTCGTCATCCATTCGCGACAGCGCCGTGGAGTCGCCTGCAGTGGCAGCAGTGGCGCCTGCCACGTCACCTTTCCAGTCATTCCGACGTGTCAGTCTTTTGGTGCGTTCCCTGAAAAGTTTATTTAAAAACAAATGCATTATTGTTCAATCGTTTTCATATGTTCTTGTTTACGTATTGTGAAAAGTAGATTTTTAGGTGAGGAGTATATTTGTTATGACTGTCCGAAACACATCCATAATTTGTAGTCTTAAATTAATGGGAAAAGCCATTCCGATTTACGAAAATTCGTGTTACGCCTGTTTTTTTGAAGAACGCTGCATCCCTTTGCATAAATCTAGGGATTCCTGTACCCCCATTGTATTTCTAATTGGCCTCGCATACAATAAACACGCGATTACCTCCTTGGTTAGCCCGCCCAAAATGAGTACGGTATTAACTTTAGACTTGGGATACACAACGCACATTAATTTCTGTTTTAAATCTTACTTATTTTACCAAGTTCAGACCACGAACTCCCTACCGTGAAATTATTCTGTCAATAATTCCCCGCACCTCCCATTGGCACGGTTGGCTGCGTACGGTGAGAAAGAAGTTCTGGAGAACTCTCTAACTATTCAAACAAACATTTAAAAATATCTATTTTGTGTTAAGGTTGTTGCATCTCTCGATGCCAAAAACCAAAACCGAACATATCACAGTTAACACAAACACGGCCATTTAAATACGCGATCCCGTACAATTACCTTGGTATAAATTTTATACCAAAGTAGTTTATACTATAAATGATTTCAATTATAACAAAAACGTTTGAGAAACGCAGCGCACAATGAAATGTCAGTGTCGTGCGTGTACGAGCCAAGCCCACGTCACCGAGCACGTGATTTGCCATCACGCGCACCCATGCCTCGTGCTGAGCTTGTCGCGGCCACGAGGTGGCGGCAGGTGGTCGGCGAATCTCATTTCGACAAAAACACATTACAGCAAAAAGTTGTCCCCCAATACAGCATAAACTACTGCCTTAAAACAGACGAATGCATCAGGATAATGTTTTGGGAAATGGCCATTACTATTATTATTATTAGAGAGAAGACATAGTACTGGCCATTCCCCTGTGGGTAATGGGAAGCCAACAGTCCATAAACATAATCGATGATGACCGGCTGGTGCCTCCAATGATGACTGATGTCCACAAAGGCAATCGGAAGACAAACTGTACCGAATTGGTTCATTCAGAATTCAA